ACAAATAACATAAAGTGAACCCTAAATCCTAAAATCTGCTCTAAAATCTAAAATAAAGAGAAAACCGTTAAGTCAACAATAGTGAACACAAACGACACCAACATAAAACCATTGACTATACAAAACACACGATACAATAGACATAATATTTTAGGATGAGTATTTTAATTACACTTTTTAGTCAATGATACCAAACAACACTAAAATTGTTATTTTTGGTTTGTTACACCTTAAATTATGCTTTGTATCTATATTGTAACACAGAGTACAAAGTTTCAGTGTAATAAAAAATGTTCTCAAGCCGCTGATCACAACTAACTCCAAATATGTTCAGATTATAATCTAGGGATAATATGTCGTAAGTAAGGCTTAAAGGTCGCACAAAGGAAATACAAAATACTGCCTCAATCCGGTAGCAGAGCTGAAAGTGGCCAGCGTTATGTAGACTGAGCTGAGAATTTACTGTCCGGTTCAGACGGCTTCGTTCCGTCTCACATAAAGTGATCCGTTTTATTCGCTTTTTCGTGTTGTAAGCGATAAGGTTGATACAGTTCATCACATTACTTTCAGGTGAGATATTTGGAATCTAATTCGTTACTTTCGTTTAAAATCAGCAAAATAAACTCCGTTAATATAGCTATTCTATTACTCGAAACTGAAGTTATTTGTCCAAGAATGGGTTTTGTAAAGGGTTTTAGTTAAAGAAACAGCTGATCCTAGTTACTTTGATTTAAAAAAATATAGCTCAATGATCAAGACAACTGGGTCAAGATTTGAAACATCAAAAACAGAGTGTTCTTATGATTGTACCTTCCGATTACTTGATGATGAGTCCTGTTACGACTCAGCCGTCATAGTTGAAGGAGTTCAGCTGACAAGTTTTTCTTAGCATGAGGAACAAATTCTTTTGTTTTAAGATAAGTTTATCTTTAGTTTATAATGAGTACCAAACTATAAATTCAATAAATTATGACATTTCCAAAAGACGTGGTATTTGGTTGAATTTTAAATGAAAAGGAAATGAAAATGAAATGAAATGAAAAATCGTTTATTTACACAGGCAAAGTTTCTTACACTTAACCTGTACGTTAAATTATGATATAAATATTTTAACAGAATCATTTAAATTTAATCATTTAATTTTAATGCAAGTTTGTCGCCATAACACTATAGGCAGGCCATCTGCGTCCCTATATATAGCTATCGGCAAATTTAATTTGCATTATGGAGTCGAGTTATCTCAGGGCCCAACCCCCAACCTTCAGAATAAAAGATATAATTGAATTAATAAAATAAATGCAAATCTACGAAGTGTTGTTTGTTCAATAACCACTTTTTAAATCTTAGACAAAAGGACGTCAATAGGATTCTGTTAAACATGGTTTAATTAACTTTAGTAAAAACTATCCAAACGATGAATTTCCATTTATTTAAGTTAAGAATGCATATTTTGACTGATTACAGTGTCATATTAAAGACCAAGCTGTAATCAACCATTTACAACACATATTGGTTGGGAACGAAAACATTGGGAATATTCAAGTGAACAATGGCTTTCTGGTCAAAAGTTATCACACATTGTCTGATTTTATTCCTCCCGAAATATTCCTCTAAAATACGATACTGCAATTCAAAGCTTACAGGCCTTTTTATGTGGTATTGTTTTATAGCTATTCATCCTGTCCACGCAATCGATTTTGGGATTTGTAGAAAACTAGAGAAAATAAGTGTTCATTCATTTGGGTATGCAAATGCAAACCAATAATGCAAGAAAAGTTCTTAATTTAGTTTTCTAAACATACGTATCGTACCACACATTTAGTAAATGGATTTACTGTTGGAATATTTAGCTATCAAGTTCAATTGATTATAAAACTAGTCAATGGTTAAATCGATATGACATTGAATAGTACAAATTGACCTCTAATTCTTTGCAAAATGTGAAGTTTGTTTTGATTTATACGAGAGTTTAATGTTTGTGACGTTCAAGCGCTAGTGTCTACTAAATGATTTCTCCGGCTTTATTTTATGACGCTTGCCTATTCGAATTATTTTAGCCTATGGCTATAATACCATAGTAGAATAAATAGTTCTTCTTAAATTACAGATAACTATATTTGGTTTAACTTTATTTTTGTATCCTTTAGAAACCAAATATTAAACATTGAAACATCTTTTACGTGAACCGATTGGAACTACCGTTAAAGTCTTCTAAACCGTATCCACTCCACAAGTGTGATCTTTAAGAAGTTTTAATCTATTCTATTTATGGCTAAATTATAATGAATGTGTAAAATACTACCAAACGACTCACTGCCTCTGTAACTAACCATAACTAACTGTAACAGTTGGCAAGAGTGCAGCTGAGTGATATGTGGTCATAATCAACTGATTGACGCTGCCAACAGTTCCGATTTACGAAGGCGTAAACGGTCATAACAATCTCATCAACTGATCACGCCCACAAACTGCCCGTCTTACACTATTGCCAACTGCTAACTGCTACACGTAATTTCTCACTGGTTGGTTGGTATGACTGTTATGCACGTATTTTAATAATCCGCTTCATCACGAAAAGCAGGCAATTCGGCAATAAGAGAGGGTTTTAGGAAATTTCCCATATAGGGATGAATATTACCGTAGTACTCATTGTAAGACCTGGACCCAGGACCGATTCACTTTTTTTTTGTTTTGAGGTCCCTAGATGCCATAAACACCATCCGTTCAGATTCATAAAAATATTATGTTTTATATATATATATATATATAGGCTATACCAAATTAAGAAAATAAACTAGCTGCTGTACCCGTGCTTTGCAACGGCAAGAAAACCCGGTTTCATAATCATTTAAATATATTTAGAATTTATGCACAATCTCTCTCAAATGATCAAGGACAGGGCAGTTATAGATCCGCACTATTCAGTTAGGAATCATCAAAAAGCATCTGAATTTTGTCAGGATCAAACCGGAGGCATTTTCTCTGTGTGTGTCTGTGTTTTACTTCACAGTGGCATTTTTTACGTTTTCTAAGCGAACATTCCAGTTACCCAGGAGATTGGAATATGGGATAGGAATTAGATACGATTAGATGAGGTAATGACTTGAGAAACGTTACATAGCAGCTAATATAAAACATGTCAAGGTATTTAACCAACACAGTTTTGAGAGAGGACTAAGAAACTGACATGATATACTCCATGTCTCCCTCCCGCTGTGGCCTGGACAGGGAGAGGGCTTGCACTGCTGGCAGAGGTCATGGAAACACCGACGGAGTTATATGGTTCAACCCAACGTGGTTTAAATCATAACAAAAATATAATTGACTTAATAGAATATGCTCCATCTGCTGATTTCCCTGTAGGAAATAAGACAGACAAAGAAGGTTTCATTCCGCTATACTTTTGGATGTATATACTGCAAGTGACTTCTCAAATGTTAAGTCTGATGTCTATTTTGGAGTTCACTGCCGGTAATATGTGTGGCTGTACAAATGGTTTATTCCTAATTAAGGGCAAATTTCGTAGTGGGAATTATACACACTCATCATACTACCAGAAGATAATAGATCAATATTTTTTGTCGAATTAATTGGCTTCACATAATGTGGCTGAATGAACATCAAAATCCACTCTTGTGCTTGAACCGTACAGAAACGTGCCTTAAAATAAAACAGTTTATAATTACCTGACTAGGATGACCACATTAAGGGAGTACTTGTATGTTTGTTTCATGCCTTCTACTTCTAGGAGGCAACTAAAAGTCTTGCTATGATTTTTAACATTACTTAGCCCATGGCCGTATATACTTAAATTGTAGCATTTTGTTGATGAATAAACTTATGGTTGCGTTCAAAACCAATGCGTTATCGTGTGTAGTTCATGTCCGGCGACACTGATTGCTAGACAAAATTTAGTTACTATTATTTTAGAATTAATTTAATATTGTGTGCTTAGTAGATTTCTCATTCTTATGGAACGGAACCATGGTGGAGAACGGAACAGCCGAAGCTAAATTTTAGCGAATTTCCCTAAGTAGCTATTACCGTAGGTCTCATGGTAAGACCTAAGCCCGGGACCGATTTACTTTTTCATTTTGATGTCCCAAGAGGCCAAAAACACCATTCGTTCAAATTTTTATATATCTATATATAGATAATATAGGTATATATATATATATATATATATATATATATATATATATATATATATATATATATATATATATGTGTGTGTGTGTGTGTGTGTGTGTCCATCCGCACGATAACTTGAGTAATTTTTGTCCGATTTTGATAAAATTTGGTTTGAAGGTGTAAGGCGGGATAAACTTGGATGTGTTCGTGAACCCGCATGATCGGACTATGGGAATGGGGGTTTAAGGGGGGTTTTATGGGATAAAAATAGGTTTTTCCCATTTTTGACCCTAAAAACAACAAATTTCACAATTTCTTTTTAAACCATTTTGTAGAGCTTAAAAAAACAAATAATTTAGTATATTGAAGCGTTATTATGCGCCTAATTGTTACGGAGAAAATTCAAAAAAATTGTACTGTAATTTTAAAATTCCCATGTTATTCTTATGGAGAATAAGTCAACTCTTGTAGTTTGCTTGTTTATGAACATATTTTGATCAAATTTGGAAAATAGGTACATTAATTTCTTACTAAACTATATTACCTTTTAATATTTTACATAAAAAAAAACTGTTCTACCCTCCCTGTTGCAGCAAACCTAAGCACTCATTAAACTATTTCTGTTTAAATAGGGAATAAATGTGATATTTTTAAGGAGACTAGGACTATCCTTAGGACTAGGAGCCATTTTCATGTCTCCGAGTACTTTTGCACCTTTTTAACCTCAAAATTCTCTACGGAGTCAAAAACACTTCTTTACATGGTTTTGAATTGGACCATTGGACGTTTTGGATTTGGTTTGGTGTTTGGTTGCCTTGCCATCTTGCCAAGCCAATGCCAAACCACCAAAGCAGCTGGAGCCGGCTTCGGCGATGTTATTGTTGAAATGTTGACTTGACATTGTTGTTATTAACTTAGTCATTAATTTATTTATTTTTACATGTTCGATGTTCATGTTCTAAGCTCTAAGTGGTTATTTTGAAGAGCTATTTAAGTTAACCTAAACCACTGTCCTGTTGTAGGTAGGATGTTCAATAAATAAAAGAAAATGTGTGAAGAACATCAAGAAGATCTTGGTATAAACCAAGAAGAAGAATATTCTGTGAGCAATGACTAAACCGCTTAACTTAAATTAAGTTAAATTACACTAGTTTTCAGGCTAAATTATTTTTAGAAATGACATGAGTTAGGGTTTAGCAAAAACAGATGGGTTAGGGGTTGGCCCCAGTAGTTTTGCTGTTAACAACTCTTAAGACACACATACCTTATTAACTTAACTTAGGCCTAGGCCTATTCTAGGATATTCATACCATTGATGGTAGGCTTAAGTTGTTCTTAATTTTGTTTATAAGAAAATTATCTACAAAGAACCAGACAGTTTAAGTTAGGCCTACTGCTCCTTTCACTCAATGTGCAAAATTTTGCTTGTTGGGTGCGATAGGCTACTTATGCTGGACAGTCTCTGGAGAACACCTTGTCCTGGCATATCTCACACACATAATTGAAGAAGATTAATTAATACACTGAGGATGGCGTTGCAAATCGGAGTAGGCTTACTTGTTTTCTGGCTGCTGTTCCTAGATTCCATACTTAGATACGTTCCATACCTCTGATTCGTTGCGTGTGACAGCCTAAGATAGGCCTAAGTTTACTGAGATCTGAGATGTCCGAGGAAACAGTTTTAGTTGGCTACTTGTACGTACACTGATGACTTCCACGGCTTTGATAGCTGCACATAATGTTGTGCTGTTCCAGTTGAAACCGGACCGAGCCATGCGTACCATAAAAAGCATAAATGTTATACCATGATGGTCTCTCGCTTCCATGGTGCTCTGAGTAAAACCTAGATATTGATTCTATAAGGAAGTGATTACAAAATGTTGCCGTGTGGGTAGGGGGTATTGAAATGCAAAGAGTTTTTGCTGCCACGGTAGATTTATGGTAGACAGTAAGCAGCTAAGCTAGCAAGACTAATTCTTCCGTTCGGCAGACAAGGTTGCTAAGGTGGCTTGTTTCCTTAGTTGGTTAATAGCTAATGTCCAAGGTCCGAAGTCCAATTGTAGAATGCTGTTGATATCTAGGCCTATGGTTCAGTTCGTCTGTAAGGTAGGATGTGTGGATGGACCATAGACACACTCAACAATGAGGTAGGCTATACAGGATACCGGTACAGGTTCCCCTATACAGAGTCAGGCAGCACTTAGGGTCTAGCATCCACCCACCAAACAGTGTCGGAAGCTCCAGTTCTGGTAGTCGCTGGAGTCACCCCCTGTGAAACCTTTGGTCTCAGAGAGGATGTCAATTTATCTGCGGTGTGGGGAGGACCTGGCAAGAACAGAGTTGCACACCTACACCCAATGACCCTGGTAGGAGAGCTGGGAACAGGAGACAACGAGGAACTGGACCAGTGACTAAATCATCAAGCCCAACCTATGGGTTAACCGGCTGTAGGTATGTGGAAATGGATCATCACCTCACCCTTTTTCTTGGCAGATCTTGTCTGTATGGTTATGTAGGCCTGCCTGTTCAGGCTGTGTCAGCTGATTGTACTTACTGCCTGGGCATTCCCGACGATGTGGGACAGACTTTCTAGGCTACTGTTCCCCGTATTGTGCCCCATTTTGAGTCTCAACATCATGTAGAACTGTGTTGAGACTTGGTCATTCCAATGATGAGGGAGGGTGAAAACAACCGGCATAAGTTTTCCACATTTTTACCAGAGTATTGTGCGTGCTAAGAAGCTAGACATAGTTTGGAATGCAGTCTATGTTTATCTAGACCGGATCCCAAACAATGTCTAGCTTCTTATCTAGTTAACTTATCACAGCTTATGACATACCTCATGTTGCCTACTATTAATTCCTTACTGTACTTCATTAAGCTATGGAGGCAATTAGTAACTTTGTCAGGTCTCAATTTTGTTTTAAAAAAAATCTGCCTCATCAAAGAAATAAACTTATTTTGGAGATTTTGATTTAGGCCTAATGTTGTTTTTTATTTCCACTCTTGCAGTATTTACGAGAAGAATTATTAACCTATGTAACTGAAGCAGAAAAGAGTTTGGCAACCAAGTCATTGATATTAAAAAGGAACAACAATGCTTCCTCTGAACGTCCGAGTACTTCAGAACTGGGCAAGCGAGATCCTAGTATCAAGAAAAATTCTACTTTCATAAAAAAAGTGGTGAGTAAACACTTTTTATGAAGGGCCCTTTGAGCCTAGCCTTTTTAACTGATAAAAGAATTTTACAAAATTACAAAGAAATTTAATCTCTTAGCACCCTGGATATTTAAATTACAATCACTTTGGTATTTGAATAAAAGTTTTGAGACGGTTAATACCTCTTCAACAGATGTTTAAATTAACATTGCTCTCATGGCGAACAAATTCAAGATGGCGGTTCAAGCCTCCAAGGAAATTACAAAACTACAAAAAAAATGTCTAATCCCACAGTAGACCTACCTACTCTAGATATACCTATTACAGTAGAGTCCCTCAAACTCGGCACTCGATAACCCGGCAGTCTGGATAACTCGGCCATCACCTGGCTCAGAAAATTAGTGATTTTTTTAGTCCGAGTTAAACAAGCTAGCTCAAGTATAATCATTTGCAGCTTGTACTAAGGATTTGTTGAACTATATCTGATGACTTAATACTGACTTGCAATATAAATCTAATCTAATTAAAAAAGGGGTTAAAAATAGCTTAAAAATTGTATTGTTCTTATTTTTAACTCTACTTCCCGATAACCCGGTATTTCACAAACTCAGCACCCTTCCAGTCCACATTACGCCGGGTTTGCGCGACTACTGTACTACTTTGGTATTTTAAAAAAATGCATGAAATAACTAATGAAACTTTTATTGCTCATAAAAAACACTGGGCTACATATTTATTTGATTATACATCAAGATAAGAAGTAACAGTAATGGCCTGAGAAACTACATTGTTCAAAAGTGACTATCGACCTTTGCCTCCCACAGGTGTGTGACGACTACCATCTAGACAGTTCAGCAACGTGTGAAGCGTCTACAGCCCATGTGTTGCAAGTTTAAGGATTTCATTCAGAACGGGTAAATTGGTTGCCGTGGCCCGTAAAGTAGGCATAGGCTTTCACCCCAAGCAGCTAAACGTGCTTTGTCCACTTCCGGGTATTAGGTCTTTGTTGACCACCAGTAATGCGTCTTTATTCACCTTTAGATATTTTGCCTGTATCTACCTCCGGGTATTGTGTCTTTCTCCACCTCATCTCTTGTCAGGGCATCCTTGTCCTTTTTCGTGCCGTGACCTATCTGGAATGGGCCTTTCACTTACCCAGTCCAGATAGGGACCCACTGTTTCAATTCCCTCCGTGACGGAGTTTGGTGGTGAGTTAATGGCCTAGTTAAACCATTGTTTTAAGTAGTGTAAAGTAAGAATGCCTTTACTACCGTTTCAATTACATCAGTAAACAAGAGTCCAAGCTATACAAAACCAGAAATCAACTGTTATTAAGCTTACAATGATTTCTGGTTTTTATATAGCTCCAAGAGTCCATGTTTACTGATGTTAATTGAAACGGTAGTAAAGGCATTCTTACTTTACACTACTTAAAAAACTACTTTTTATATCGCTTGGACTCTTTTGACCTACGAGCGCACTGTTGGTCTGGTAACTGATGAAAAATGTATAATGATGACATTTTTTGTGATCTTGACATTTTTCTGAAGTTGGAATTGGACCTCTTCTTCAGGTTGGAAGTAATTTACAACATGACATGACGACTCACACAACCAAAATTTCACCCTCTAAGTACTTAAGCAATAGTAATTGCATCCTAACTTACTTCAACATAGCCTAAAGGCCTACTAAATTATTCCATTAATGTTAAGTTTGTCAGATGATGCAGTTTGTTTTGTGTGTTAAGTGGGCAGTGTTGATGGTGATCTTTTATCATTTTAGGTTTTCATTTTTGTTAGACTGCTTTAAAAATTAATTTGTTTGAGTTTGGTGGGCTCTTTTTAACCAAATTTTACCGGTTCATGGGTCTTAGACCTCTGCGTGGAACATAGCCAGTAAAGAAAATTTTGTAAGCCGATAAAAAATTACCAAAAGACCCCTGACATTTTAGCTTTACTCAGTGCACTACCAACTAAGCCACCAATCGATCAAAGCTCCCCTCGTGTGTTCTCTGCTACAGCTCAGTCTTTTTATCTTCTGGGCTCCTCACTTGAGAGGGTTTCAGAATTTAGATTCAAAATCAAAATTCTCATGAAAGTTTGGTTTTACTCAAAGATCATCAACGATGAAAAATGTCTGTTATGTATAATCTTTTAAATAAAGATAGTTAAGTTTTTTTTTTTGCTTTCAGCGCAACATGGCAGCTGCTCAGATGGAGTTGTTGATTAAGGAGTGTGCAACTCTTAACCTAACAAAGTACTTGAGTGAAGTGGCCGTTGCAATTGTAGAAGCCAGGATAAAGTTTACAGATATCCCTTCAGCTGTGCTGCTCTGCACTGAACTCAATTGTACATACGCTGAGTTCTCTTCATTCTTGCAAGAGGAATATATCAAAGTATTGACAATCAATAAGGATGAACCAGTAAGTGAGCAGTCTTATTTTTAATTTAATATTTTTTCGTTTATTTTGTAAAACAAACACTTTATTTTTAAGAATAATAAATAATGTTTGTTTTTCTGCAGTAGTACGGTTAAATCAAATGATCAAAGGAAGCCCATCATAACTCAACTCAACATAACGTCATAACTTGTCTTTGGCTCGCCCCCAAGCCCCCTTTTGTGGGCTGTTTTTCTACTGTTTGCAGTTTTGAGGCTGAAACAGTGAACAAAGGAAATAATATTTTACTGTAGGTCTAATCAATATTGCAGTTCTAAGAAAATATCTAAAACCTCTAACAAGCAAACCTAATAAACAAGTGTTAACCCTTCGAAGCGGTTTGAATAGCCTTCCTTGTAACACTTAAAAGACACTGCTATGGTTTGACAAGACCAAGACCTGCTCGCAACCCACTAGGTTGTGGCATCTGACGACAAATAAGTGAACTATTTTGAACTAGAACTATATATAGCTTACTGTCCATTAGTAGCTTGATTTTTCACAGTTGATCCCTATTGTAGTTGGTAGTGAGTGCATTAGAAACAGATGTGTTGTTTTAAAACATAAAAACTACTGGTACCGTAAGAAATATTGACAATATGGAAGGTTACGAAACCTTTAAAGAACCTTAGGCCTCATTATAAATATAATACATTTGACTATCAATACAACTAGACATTCCATACCCATGTTAAATTTGTAGCCAGATTTTAAAATCAAAATCATCGTAGTTGATGTGAGGCAACGACAGATTGAGCTGATCTGAATTACTAATTTCTGTTGAATTCACAAATTTTGGTTGCCAAGTAAGACTTAGGGAATGACTTATGGTGAGCTATAGCAAACTGTTATGACCCACTAAAAAAAGGTTTAAAATAGAATTCTAGACAATAGGCCTAGTGCATTCTGTGACTGGCTCACAAAACGTTCTTAAAAAGAAAATACCGATAGCTGGTCCATGTGGGATAGGTGGGACCTCAGTATCCTATACCGTAGTCAATGATAAATTTGATAATTCCTAGAATTCCAGTTCGTAGCTTCCTAGGTATTTTTAAATTTTATTTTTATAATAAAATTATCAATTTAATTATGAGTAGCCTCATCTCTTATGCCAAAATAGCAAAGGGCAAAACGTGGGATGGCTTAGCACAATTTGGGGGAAAGGATACTGCAGCAGGGTCCAGCAGGCAAAAATCCTGCCTTGAAGGTCTAAATACTTTTATCAGGTGTAATAATGATACTAAAAAAAATGAAACTGTTTACCAGGTTGCCAACACTAACAAGCTACGTGTAGAGGTATGTTTCTACGCAGAACTAAGTCTGTGTGGAGTGATCTCTGCGCGACAGTCATTGCCTGTGTTGGGGACTGCTCTTACAGTTCTGACTGCGGACAAGACATTCAACACACTCAGTTTGATACTCAGTTTCTGTAAACACTGCGGCGCAGACTTTGCTGGTAATTATCACCAGTTGTGATAGATATTATTATAGCAGACTTCAAAATCAGTATCTACATACACCAGTCACATCAGTGGAAACATGAGCGCTTTTAAGGAAAATCAGTTCAAACCCCCTCACACCTCATTCGGGGATGCTAACTACTGGCTAGCATCAGACCCTAGTGTTTTACAAACCAGAGATACGTATGTTCAATATACATGAAGTGTTTTTTCTATTCAGGTTTTTTCCAGATCTCAGTGTTCATTAGACCTCTTCACCTTCTTGTGTTCTGTCACAGTTCTCTTTTTCTACAATCTACCATCCAATCCTTTCTTCACATCCCTTCTCACATCATCCATCCATCTTGCTCTAAAATAATATCTATGTCTGCTTCCCTTTTACTCAATATTCATTTTACTCCATTCAAACAAAATTTTAAATAAATTTTTCATTTATTTCTCTCTCCTAGCCTACTCCTAGTACTTTAGTAGTCCTTCACACTCTGTCGAACTTCACTCCTTTCTTTAATCCATACTCAATCCATTGTTTAATATGCAGTATGAAGTATCCATGAGCCTTTCTAAAGCTTATGACCAATATCTACCCATCTGCTCATCTAAGTTAGGTTAGTATGTACTACAGACGAGACAGTAAAAGCTTACTCAAGGTGTGTAGGCGCAAAGGGACAGCTATTGGACGTTGAGCAAATGGCAGGGCCTTTGGACGAGGTGCAAATGCTACTTTTTTAAGAGTGTAATGTGCACTGTTTCACTACGACCAATCTCATGACGTCCAAAGCTTGTAGAAAGACTGATTATTGCAGCTACTGGACTTTTGGACATGGTGAGATTTAGACGACATTCAACAGTAGGGCCTAAGGTATTTTATATTGGACGTCGTGAAACAGCTCAAAAATTATATTTAGGACTTTAGAACACTGACTTATATCATTGGACGTCGTGCAATACATCCAAATTGTTTGCCACTTACAACCACTCAGATCTGATAATTGAGACAGCATAAAGAACAGTTGGGTAATTAACCTTATTTTTGAACAGTGAGATTTTTCCATTATAGTTGTGGCTAAAATATATGTATACGTACCTTTCAGAGTTTTGGTGTTGTAAATCCAGACATTATAATACCAACACCAGTCTATGTTGATGAAGACTGCCCTCTATCACCCTCAGTGGTCTCTCCACGTACTGAAACATTACAATAGAAAACATGTAGCCTACATTATTTATGTACATACCTTGGAGTCTAACCAATACTGTTACCTAGTAACTGATGTCACTGTTTGTAGGGTTGGTGCCCAGACAGATCAGGATGTTGAGTGAACAGTTTGGTGTGTCGGTCAAGAGCAGCAACCTGATGGTAGGCTCTAGACAGGATAGTGTGAGGAACCTGCTGAAGGATTACTACATATCTTTGTGCCAACATCTGACCAACGTAAGTATCTCCCAGATGGTTCATTTGTTCATTACTTTTGTTATAATTGTTTCTGAAAAGTTTCAGTGGTTTTTTAAGTTAATAAAGTACTGTAAACTGTAAAAAGACAGCCTAGTATACCACAACTTAATATAACGATTAGCCTAAGATTAGTCAGTCCTTACTTTTTAGAAAGAAATTTAAATTTATCAATTCTCAATATCGATACCATGTTTTTAAAACTTATCAAATTTTCTATATGGATTTGCTACGCTTCACCAATCCCATCTTTATATCGTTAGACAAAGTAATTTTTGGGTAATGGGGTGGTTTTAAAGTAAAGAATAAATCAAAGCAGCAATGTAAGATACTAATGAGCTAATTTAAATCCAAACCAGAAAAATTATCACCTTATACCTCAATAGTAGAGAAATTAAGCCTCTCCCACGGACGCCTGAATATCCCCCACCCCCATGGTTTTGTAGACTTCATCCATGTCTCCCGGGACTATGGCAAAATCATGAACAACTCCTGTGGTCCTACAGACAATATCATCGCCTTCCCCGACCACAGCAAGGCTGTTTATTATCTTCCGCGGTTGTGTAGACTTCAAAAATCCTGAATATTACCTTTGGTAATAGAAACATCATCATCGTCCTCTGCATCATCGTAGAAAGACACTGAATATGACCCTCAGACAAGGGATCATCATCATCGTCTTTCATGATCCTGGCAAAATCATGAACATGTCCGGTTGTGTAGACATTATCTTAGTCCCCTGGAATCGTGAAAAAATTCTGATCATCTCCTGCGGTCCTGTGGACATCATCATTCTCTCCTGCGGTCACAGAAACATTATCGTCATCATCTGCAATATTCTCTATTCTCGGTGCCGGTACCAACATCTAGAATCGGTGGTATGGAAAGTTGACACTTCCCTATAGGCCTAAATGTATTTGTTCAAGTCTTGCAGCTTTATCAGCCAGGATGGTCCTTTGCTTTTGCCACAAATAAGTAACAACGGTTCTTCATTTTAATATGCTTTTAAAGACTAAATTTAAGTAGAATAGTTATATATTCCAACCTGGAAACCGGGAATCGTAGCATATATGCATTTTGATGACCGGGAAACAATTTTTTAATTGTGCATAAACTTTGTAAAGAACTGCAAAATTTTAATGTTTACTCCCTTTCTCTACAGAGTATGGATTCAATATATGAGAAATAAAACTCCAGTCCTAACAAGCAAGTTTTCTTTAAGTAAAAGATTGGCTACAGTTGGTCTATATACTGAACTGATATTGCATATTTATGAGTTTGTAAGCTCTTTTGCTCTTTATTTTAGGAAATGAAGAAACTAAATGCTTATGAGTCTCAGAACAAGCATATTCTGATGGCGAAGGGGGAGCTGCGACCTGATAGGGTGACAAATGTAGAGGTAAGTTCACTGTGTAAGTGGTACTCGTTGTTAGCCACGAGGAATATACTGTTCCACAAACTTAATAATATCTGGAACGTAAAAATACCATAGCGGTTGCTCATTGGTGTGCCTTGGCCCTTGGACTGTTGAGCTACCCAGCAAACATTGATGGTTCAAGAGCAGCTGCCTGCACTGTGTCATCTTTGGCTAGGTACCATGTGCAATACTATCCTTGGACCATTACAGTAGATTCCCGATTATCCATGATAACGAGTGATAATCAAAATCATGGATAGTGCAAACCTAACCTTAAAAAGGGCACCCATTTCAGCAGAAAACTCTGTGGTCCGAGGAGATATTGGATGTTAGGAAAATGTCCCAAAACTCCAATGTCCAAAAAAATTGACATCAGTAAAATCAATGCACTGGCGTTATAGATAGTCCAACAAACACACTAATATTTTTAATTTTGCCATATTCGTTAGATAGAGTTGTGGATAGTTACTCTATGCCTTTTTCTCTTTTACGTAGAAGAAAGTTACGCTGTCTGCTGTACAACTGGGAAGTTGACATTTGCTGTTTGTTTTGTTTTGTGTACTGTAAAATATGTTTTTTAACAGTTTTTTTTTCTAAAAATTTAACCTTTTATTTATTTTGAGTTCACAATGGACGATTCTGACAGTTCTGACTGTGAAAAACTTTATAATAAGAGCCGACGATAACAAAAATACTGTTCAGAAACATAGTGTAATCTAGTGTTTGTATTTACGATGACCTGAGTGACAGCCTTGTGGAAATGGAAAACAGTGATGGTGAATCCATGAATTTTGAATCTCTAATCCTACTCTCAAAAAACCGAATCTCTAGTCTGGAATCCTAAATTTTGAATCCCAACACCTGATCCTCCAAGTCCTAATTGAAAAATAAAAATAAAAAAATAGGTACTCCTCAAACTTGTGTTTTTAATTGTTTAAATACGCTTATGAGTTAAATTATTATTAAGGTAAAAATACTTAATAATATGTATGGTAGGCTATGTTAGATCAGTAACTAAACTACCCTAACCACAAACATAAAATTATCAAGATCAGCATATTGGTAGGAGTGGATGAGGCAGAAGAAATAAAACATCAAGCAACACCAATGGAATGGTATAGTTGAATTCTTTTTATAACCTTGCCCACAAACCACCCTTACTAACTAAAAAGCAAAATTTAATTGAAAATAATGAAAATGCAGTTAAATCAGTTATATTACGGTATGTTTTTAGGTCATGAGGACAGAAATAAACAATCTACTCAGTGGAGCAATGACTTTATCTGAATTGTTGGACGAAGAAATGCCAGATCTTCCAGACACAGGTATGTATCACTAACTTAACCCTTACCAATTAGTTAAATATAGTAGATGAATGCTTGCCCAAACAAAACGCTATGGACAAAACTATACTCACCTTTTAATACAGCGTGCATTGGCTGATCTTGGTATTTCCCAGTTTTGCCGATAGAGTACCAAAGCTATTGGGGAACATCTCTCGTTATGGAAACTCACAATAACAACATTCCCTGCCCTCCGATTGTCAGTAAAATGGCAGCACGCTACACTTTCCGGTCTCTGCTACTAGTAGATTACAAGTTGCTCAAAATCCCTGTATTAGATATATTTAATTTAAGACTGGGTGATCATGTAACAAGATATTATTGTCAGTTGGGTTGGTTAAAGATCAAAGAGAGAAGAGAATTAACTTATTAATTAATTAATGTTTTAAACACAGTTTATAAAGTTCTAAATAATTGTAAGCCAGAATATTTGTTTAAAGAAAAGATAAAAACAACAGTACATTTGCTTCAAACCGTTCCAGATCTGGCAGACTTAGTGTTGGGAGATGGAGAAGAATGTAGTGGACGACAAGTGTGGGAAGATGAAGATCTACGACGCTTCTACACTCAACTGCCTGATGTGCAGGAATATCTTCAACAGATCAACAAGCAGGTCACTTGCATATCACTTTATCCCTATGTAATTTTGTTAAGTTATAATATTATGACGTACCGGTAATGTTAAGTTATAATTATGTATATATAATTTTTTTTGTGTTTTTGACTCTATCTATCAAAAACAACAAGAGCTGGGCATTGACTTCGAGGAAGGTAATTGCTCAAATAAACTATTCACAAAAAAATCTTATTCTGTTGAAGATGGACCTAAATTTGTCGCAATATCTCTGGTCAGGTCAACATTTGACCCTGGCAACACAAGTATATTACAGGGTGTGTAGTAGTTGAGAAGAACAGGAAAGTCTGTAATAAGTATTCAATCTCAAAATGGTCTTGAAAAGTCAGGATTTAGTCTTTATTTTGTTGTAAAAGTCAGGAATTTTAATTCTATGGACCATATAAAATCTAATAAAATGTTAAAGATTTTGCCGCAACCACACAAGACTATGATGACGTTTTTGTGACCGGGGTCGTCGATGATGATGTCCTATAGGGCCGCAGAATATGATGAGATTTTTCCTGCGATAGTGGAAGTCGATACTCGATAGTGATGTCTACACGGCTGAAAAATGTTAATGAATTTGTTGCGATCGCGCAAGACGATGATGAAGTTTTAGTTTACATGTCCATACACGACTGCAAAGGATGTTCAAGATTTTGCCGCGATCGTGCAAGACGACAATGACTTTTTAGTCACCACGGTAGTCGATGATTAAGTCTACCCAACATTTTACCCAGATCGTGCGAGATGATGATGACGTTTTTATGACCGCGTGAATTGATGATGGTGCCTACCTGGCTGCGAGAGATAAAAAGAATGTTTTTGCTATCACTGAAGACGACGATAACGTCCACATGACTCTAAGAGATGTTTATGGTTTTGCCGCTATATCCCACCATAACGATGATGATGACTACATGACCGTGAAAAAGATATTGATGTCTACAAGGCTGGCGGGATGTGACCAGAAATTTGGCGCTATTGCAGGAGACGATGATAATGTCCACATAACCGTGGCACACCTCTAGTTATAATAAAATTGTTTTTTTTATTTTTATCGTTAGATCTTCATTTACCATTTATAGGCTATGTTAGTTATTTAATGTGTAAAGACGGATTTAAACCCAAATTGGCTATATCAAATTTTTTATTGCTGCATACATTTTTTTCTTTACTTGGAAAAAACTCCATTGTCTCAAAAATATTCATTACATTAAGACAGGGTATAATGTAATATGTAGTACAATCAATTCATAAAAACAATGGTAGGCTATTGGTATTGAGTATTATTGAGAAAATTTTTCAGGGACCGGTATCGAAAATCGATAAATTTTTGTATCGACATCATTAAATTATGAAAAAACTAGTCTGGAAATAGTCTTGAATTTTAAAATGGAAATAAACTAGGCACCCTGATATCATGATGTTCACACCTCCTATATTATTTATTGTTATTGTTTGTAACTTCATACTTCAACTTCACTTCAACATTGCCGAGGCTGTTAGAAAACTTAACTGATAGAAAAAGTTAACTGATAGGCCTAGTTTAATAATTTAAAAAGTTGAAATTTTAAAACATTTTCAGTAATCAATTCATTTACTGGTATTTATACTACTGTATACTATTTATACTACTGTATACTATTTATAGTTACTGTATACTATTTATAGTTACTTTCTGTGAATATTTTTTATGTACTTGTGTTTATTTAAATTTACAATAAACCTTTTTACAATGATTGATAACAATATAGTAAACTAGTTAAAAAATGGCTATTGTGTTACATACAAAAGGAGAGTAAATATGACTAGCTATTATAATACTTAATTAATATTGTTGTTTGTTAGATGTTTAATTCTCATTTTGTTTTAGACTGATCAAACCGATATCCCAAGCCCAAGCCAATTGAACGAATTGCTCAAAGCTGATGGTAAGATGTTACCAAACTTATTACTGATTTAGGCCTTTTGTCTTTACTGTTGCCTTGAACCTTCTCTTTTCTGGGATTCATGATCAGGTCTGCAACAAGTCCCAAACCAATTCCTAACACCTTCTTATGGGTTATATTGTTTGGGAATCTTAGCACTCACTGGAATGTAGGTTTTTGATTGAAGACTTTGTATTTTAAGCTGTAAGTCACAGGTTTGCTTCCTTGTTTTTGTATTGGAGACTTCCATGTTCCAAGTACCAGTAAACTCTCAAGCTAAAAAGTTAAACGTTTACATTTTTTTATCAATGTGACTTCATTGTCAAATATTGACCAAAATTAATTTTTTTATGAATAACCATTTTAACATTACTATACATTGCAGACAAGCTGTAAACCAACCTTAGGTTGAAATACTGTTGTTCATGTTCTATTTATTTTTTTTTAATCTCTAATTGTTCAATCAATATGAGTAGTATCGAATAGGGTTAGCAATGATAACTGTGTACCACAGTTGTACCGAATTTGTCAGAATTAAAGTTATAGTTTTAGCAAATTTCCCATTTAGGGAATTTAAGCTATTACCTAAGGTCTCATAGTAAGACCTGTACCCAGGGCCAATTTACTTTTTGTTTTGACGTCGGGGATTCCAAAAACACCATCCATTGAAATTCATGTATTTGGGCTAAGTACTACCTTAAGTACCTAGAACCTAAATTTAAATTAGCCTATTTGTTAAATTAGTTGTATTAAAATGGGGAATGGATATAATATTTGTAAGGAAGGAGATATTTTAGTGAAGATCCAATCAGGCAAATGGAAACTTGAATAGTCTGCAGGTTTTCTGCAGTGGGGGTTTTAGTTTTAAATAAGTTATATTTTAAAAGCTAATGGAAAGAAACTGAAACAAACATGTATCTTAATTAGTCACTTGTGTATTTTATCAAATGGAAATTGTTGTTGTTAAAACTTATAATTTGATCCAATTGTCAAAAAAAGAATTTTTTTGTGTCTTGCAGATGCAGAAAATCAAAACAAGAAGACGGGCTTTGACACATTTCTAAAACTACTCCCTGAATGTCAGACCAAAGACATGATTGACAATGCTGCTTTGGAATTTCTCCTATATTTTAATTCAAAACCTAGTCGCAAGAAACTTATCATGTATGTTTTTTGTTTGTTTACTATATCATTTTACTATATCCACTGAAGAAGTAGGTTCTTCTTTAACTATTTTTGTTACTTTTATGATAAAATTATTCAAGAAACTGATAGTAAATAGAATTTAATGAGCATGACAAAAAACATCAGTGTATGAATTAAAACCAGGAATGAACTGTTAGGTAACCATAGCAACTCATTTAAACAAAACCAAAGTTATACTTTTATAAAAAAAACAAATAATTGTCCAGCTGGTTTTCAACAGTATTGAAGCACTCACCACAGTACCCCCCTGCTAATGATTTAATTTAAGTAAATCATGATACTTGAAATCGTACAGGAAAGCGTACATGTCTCCCAGATTTTGTCTTAATCGCAGGTTTTAATTCGCTTGAACTTGTCTTGGTATAATTAGGATCATCCATGCTTTGTGTCTTGCTTTGTGCTTGTGTGGATTTGTTGCTTTCTGTCCTATTTGGTGCATATCCATCGTTCTTGTATTCGGACCAAAAGTATGCCGGTTTGAGTCGATCCATGGATACCGTGACATTACAGCCTTTAATCACCACAACGGCAGTCTTGGTGGTTCTGCTGATAATAGGGTAAGGGCCAGAGTATGGGGGTTCGAGAGCTCCCTTGGGGATGTCAGTCCGCACAAAGACATGTGTGCATGTAGCGAGGTCCTTAAAAACGAATGGCGTCTTCGCACCATGTCTAGTTCCACTGACTGGACGCAGGTTGTTGAAGTGCTGACGTAAGCTCTTTACGAAGTTTGGTGGATCCAATTGATGTCCATCTTGGCTGGGCGTCATAAACTCTCCAGGAAGTCGTAGAGGTTGACCGTAAACGAGTTCTGCAGAGGAAGCTTGCATATCTTCGCGCCACGCAGCTCTGATCCCCATCAGTATCACTGGCAATACTTCGGTCCAACGATCTGTTGTGTGACACCTTATGGCTGCCTTGAGTTGTCGATGAAGGCGTTCAACGAGTCCATTGGCAGCAGGGTGATAGGCAGTCGTTCGCAGACGTGTTGATCCAGTTAGCTGTGTTAGCTGCTGGAAAAGAGATGATTCAAATTGTCGACCTTGATCTGTGGTTATGCGCAGTGGCGTTCCAAACCTTGAAATCCAGTTGGTGAATAATGCACGAGCTACAGTTTCAGCTTCTATGTTCTCAAGTGGAACTGCTTCAGGCCAACGTGTAAATCTGTCAACACAAGTCAAACAATACCTGTAACCTTCCGAAACAGGTAATGGGCCAACTAGATCAATATGGATGTGTTCGAATCTAGAAGATGGTGGAACAAACGTACCAACTGGGGTTGAACTGTGACGTGTTATCTTTGACTTCTGGCAGGAGAGGCAGGAGCGAGCCATAGAACGACAGTCCGATTTCATTGAAGGCCAAACAAAACGTTGGCTAACCAGTTTTGTGGATGCCTTTATCCCGGGATGAGACAGGTTGTGCAAGCTGTAAAAAGCATTTTTTCGAAATTGTTTTGTGACAAAAGGACGGGGGTTTGAAGTAGATACATCACAATAAAGTGAGATTTCCGTTCCTGGTAGCAGCACTTGCTTGAGCTTTAGGTTGGATTCTGTTTCTAAATAGTGTTGTAGTTCTTCATCCTGAGCTTGAGACTCTGCCAAAGCCTGGAAGTTTAAGGAGGCAGTGGCTTCTTCTATCCTAGAGAAGGTATCTGCAACTGCGTTTTCTTGTCCAGAAACGTGGCGAATGTCAGTTGAGAACTGTCCAATATATTCCAAGTGACGGAACTGTCTTGGAGAACACTTATCAGGTTTTTGACGGAAAGCAAAGGTCAGAGGCTTGTGATCTGTAAAAATTATGAATTGTCTTCCTTCTAGCATATGTTTGAAATACTTAATGGCAAGATAAATTGCTGTTAGTTCTCTGTCATAAGTACTGTATTTCTGTTGAGTTAGACTTAACTTTTTGGAAAAGAAAGATAGTGGTTGCCAGTTTTGTCCTACCTTTTGTTGCAATACACTTCCTACAGCATAGTCTGATGAATCGCAGAAGATTGCAAGTGAGGCATTCGGTGCAGGGTGAGACAACATAACGGCTTCACTGAGGCTTTTTTTACAAGTTTCAAAAGCTTGTTCACTTTCTGTAGTCCAATTAATAGGCATATTACCTTTTAGATTGGCTTTCAGAAGGTCATTTAGTGTGCTCTGCTGGGACGCTGAATGGGGTAGGAATCTACGATAAAAGTTTAGCATACCAGTGAATCTTCTTAATTCCTTTGCAGTCTTTGGTTTGGGGTAACAGTCAAGAGCTTTCACTTTTTCAGGTAAGGGTTTTATCCCTTCTCCGGAAACTTGATATCCGAGAAAACTAACCATGGGAACTCCTAGGTTGCACTTACTGGGGTTGACAAAGACTCCGAAAGAGGATAGGCGGTCAAACAATTGTCGTAAGTGAATGAGGTGTTGTTCTTCGGATTCTGAAGCTACGAGAATGTCATCAATGTAAGCGTAACAGAAGTCTAGGCCACTGAGTACACCATCAATGAAACGTTGAAAGGTTTGGGCAGCATTGCAAAGTCCAAAAGACATGAAAGGAAATTCGAAAAGACCAAAAGGTGTTGTTATAGCAGTCTTATGAACGTCATCAGGAGCTACAGGGATCTGATGGTAAGCACGAACAAGATCTATAGTAGAGAAAACTTTTTTACCATGCAAATTTAGAGAAAAGTCCTGAATGTGAGGAATAGGGTAGCGATCAGGAATGGTTCTGGCATTTAGGGCTCTGTAGTCTCCACATGGTCTCCATTCGTCTCCTTTTTTGGGAACCATATGAAGAGGGGATGACCAGCTGCTAGAAGAAGGTCTAGCTATACCTAACTGGACCATAACCTCAAATTCTTTTTTGGCTAACTTTAACTTGTCCGGGGCTAGACGACGGGGTTTGCTAAAGACTGGTGGTCCTGGGGTTGTCTGGATATGGTGTTCTGTTTGGTGTTTGACAGGGACAGAAGGTTTACCTGCCGGTCGAATAAGGGACGCATATGATTGGAGGAGCTGCATGTAGACATTTGGTTGGTTTGCATTTATTGCTTTAATACCACTTACCAAATTGGAGCATGTTGCGCGACCAGTGGAAACGAGAGAGGTTACCTGATCAATCAAACACTGACGTCGAACATCCACTAATAGATCATAATGATGAAGAAAGTCAACTCCAATGATCGGTTTGGCAACATCAGCTATGATAAAACGCCACACAAATGCTCGGCGTAGGCCTAGGTCCAAAGATAAGGTATGCAACCCGTAAGTGGCAATTTCGGTGTTGTTTGCTGCGTATAGTGTATAGTCAGATTTTAGCAGGGTGTCCACATTCTGGAAAGTCAGGGATAGTCATGGAAAGTCATGGAAAACAATTTTGGTCATTGAAAGTCAGGGAAATAGGCAAGAAGTCATGGAAAGTCATGGAAATTTCCAATTATGGATGGATTTGAGGGGACCATTCAATGCTCTAGTCAGCTGTAAACCCGGACTGTTGTAGCATTTTTCAGGATTTTTCACAAATGTTCGACAATTCAATTTATTACAGTTGTATTATTTTATGAGTTTTCGGTTTGTTTTAGTTCATTGTTTACCAATTGTACTCCATTGTTATCTGTTATTACATATTTCAGTATTTTCTGCAAAATAACATGTCCAAGCAGTATTATTTGTGTTTGTATGTTCCTATATAATTTGCTTGTAAAGTTCGTGAGTCATGGAAATCAATGGTAAATGGTCATGGATAGTCATGGAAAGTCATGGAAATTAATGACAAATCTTTTGTGGACACCCTGTTTTAGTATTTTACCTGAAAGCATTTTTCGTGGATAGACGCAAACATCTGCTCCAGTGTCAATGAGGAACTGTTGTTTTGTTACCTTGTCTGTGACGAAGAGGCGGCGAGATGTCTGTAGATCTGAGGAGTCGCTGGCCGCCATTAGAGACTCCCGAGATCGTTTCCCGAGTTGTTGGCTTGGAAACTGCAAGGCCTGGTGCACTTAGTTGCTGCATTACCGAATCGCTTGTGGTACCAGCAAACATCGTCTCTTGTCGTGCTCTTGGAGCGTGATCTTGATCGCCGAACCGGACTTGAACTCCATGTTGGACGACGATTTTGATTACTCCGCAGATCTTCTTTGATAGTTGAAATGTCGTGCTGAAGAGTGCTTACGATTTCGCCCATTTTAGATGTCATCAGGATCGTCAGTCGCTCCATCATTACTTCCATAGAGTTGGGACTGTTAGTAGGGACAGCTGCTTCTGTAACTTGATGACGCGGGCTAATTTCAAGCACGGCGTCAGCCAACTCGGCTAGTGCATCAAACTCAGATGACTTTTGTGTTGCTAAAATGGCTTGAGTTGATGAAGGCAGACGACTCATCCACAGAGTTTTCAGCACAGTGTCAGGCACAACGGTACCAGCCAAAGCACGAAGATGTCTGAGGAACTGCGAGGGCTTTCGATCTCCCATTTCTTCATGTTCCAGGAGACGTCTGGTCTTCTGTTCCTGTGAAGAGCTTAGGCGTTGTATCAATTCTGTTTTCAGTTTTTCGTATTTTCCCTCGGTTGGTGGTCTTGTGAGGATGTCTCTCACTTCAGCAGCGTATTTAGCATCAAGGTTTCCACAAACATAAAAGAATTTTGTTTCATCAGATGTGATCCGAGCCAAGGAGAATTGGGTCTCGACCTGCGCAAACCACAGCTCAGGATCTGCTGGCCAAAATTGTGGAATCTTCACAGTAATTCGTTCTAGGGAGTTACCTTCTTGAGTAGTAGACATAGTATTGCAATTTTGCTAAATTTTGGTAAAAAATGATCACGTCGGGGTCACCACTGAAGAAGTAGGTTCTTCTTTAACTATTTTTGTTACTTTTATGATAAAATTATTCAAGAAACTGATAGTAAATAGAATTTAATGAGCATGACAAAAAACATCAGTGTATGAATTAAAACCAGGAATGAACTGTTAGGTAACCATAGCAACTCATTTAAACAAAACCAAAGTTATCTAATATATAAAATTGTCGTGTCACAGTGTTTGTCTGCAAACTCCTCCGGAACGACTTCACCGATCGTTATGAAATTTGGTGTGTAAATTCTGTAGGTATGCGAATCGGACGTAAACTATTTCCCGTTTCGAAATTCTTAAAAGGGCTCCGCCCCAGTGGCTCTGGAGTTTCCCATGTTAACCTTATGAGAAATGGAATTAATGAATCTTAACAGCTGTTTCAATTAAACAAGTTGGTTCTGTTCTATGATGTTCAATAGCATTAAAGTTACCAACAGGGTGCAGCACTATTATTTCTTTTACATTTATGACAATAGCTAATTTGCAACCAAAAGGTGAGTGAGCGTAGCGAACGAACTTCAACCTGGAGGCGAGTTAGCGTAGCGAACGAGCTAACCTGAAGGCAAGTGAGCGCAGCGAACGAGCTCCAACCTAAAGGTGAGTGAGCGTAGCGAACGAGCTCCAACCCAAAGGTGAGTGAGCGTAGCGAACGAACTTCAACCTGGAGGCGAGTTAGCGTAGCGAACGAGCTAACCTGAAGGCAAGTGAGCGCAGCGAACGAGCTCCAACCTAAAGGTGAGTGAGCGTAGCGAACGAGCTCCAACCCAAAGGTGAGTGAGCGTAGCGAACAAACTTCAACCTGGAGGCGAGTTAGCGTAGCGAACGAGCTAACCTGAAGGCAAGTGAGCGCAGCGAACGAGCTCCAACCTAAAGGTGAGTGAGCGTAGCGAACGAGCTCCAACCCAAAGGTGAGTGAGCGTAGCGAACGAACTTCAACCAGGACGTGATTGAGCGATGCGAACGAGATCATCTTGAAAATTAAACGTAACGGTACTTTCTTTCCATCGGTCTGTCTTAGGGGAAACCTATAACTTAGGCGATACGAAGTTCGCCGGGTCAGCTAGTACTTTTATAAAAAAAACAAATAATTGTCCAGCTGGTTTTCAACAGTATTGAAGCACTCACCACATCCACTTTCAATACACAAAATCTGTAATTTGTTTTGTTGTCAATAACCTAATATACAATAGTTTGTAAGTTTTGTTATTTATTTAGTTTTAAAGGTGATTTTTACCATTTTCCATTAACTCTCGGTAGGTAGGCCTACACAAAAAACTAATTATGTGACATTTTGTATTTTTTTACACTTGCATAAAAAATGTAATAATAGGTTAGTGCAACAGATACAAATAGTACCTAATAAAGCTGATAGGATGTAAAGCTTGTCGTATGCAGAAGGTCGCTTGGTAAATTCTGAGTAAAGTCATCATATTTGATGGTTTGAATCTGCAGGTGGCCTTGATAATTGGACTTTAAATAAATGGTCTTGGCTAAAGATCTAGCTGATATTAGTTAGTAAGCAGGCTATCATGGTTTTATTGATTCAACCAACAATCATCCTTATCATAAAATACACACTCTGAGGTGTTGGTGCCCAACAGATTTAACCTAATCCGTTACATTTTTTATATCCGATCTTCACATCCTAGGTCGCTAGGCTCAAGCTTAGAACAGTTTTAACATTACTTACTGGGATTTGAACTCGTGACATTGCAGGCCCAAGTCCCACGCTTTACCATTAATCCAGTTTGCTCCCAATATATTATAATGGCCCATTAATTTGTTAAATTATGCTACAATTCTGTCTAACTTGTATGGTTTTCCAGCACTTTGTTCACGGTACCCAGAACCAAGACTCAGTTGCTGCCGTTGTATGCCAGGTTTATTGCCATCCTTCACCCAGTAGTACCAGAAGTTGCCACTACACTAAGCCAACAACTGAAGTCTGAAATGTTGCGGCACATACATAAAAAGGTATATAGATTAGAGATTAGTGATGGGCCGATTCCGATTCTCGATTCCAAAATACTCTCGATTCCGCCGGAATCGAATCGAGCATTCGATTCGAATCTCCGTGGGTTTGGGATCGATTCCGACTCTCTTCGATTCTTTGATAAAATTGGTTAAAATAAGCCATAAACGTCATATAAAGCAACAAAGAAACAAAATAAATTCAGATTGCTAATGATTTGCTTGCAACTCTGAGCAAACAACAAGTCCTGGTCGTATCGTCACTAACTCAGCGAGACTAGAGCGAGCGTATTGCAAAAATAATAGATGCGAACTCAATACAGATAGTAGCCTACAATGAGAAACAGTTAACAGATGGGAATTGGAGATTCGGGCAAACTGGACTGGAGCGAGTAAGCATTGCGTCACAGCTCACAAGACATACAAGGAAAGGGATGAGCATCGATTTAGATCAACCAGTGGTACCAAGGCTACTAACCACGAATACTAGAAAAGTAGAAAAATACCGGTATGGATCATAAACATAAACAAATGACATTTTTGGCCCGAAAATACACATTATTTCACATTGCTTAAATTGAACTGCCAAAACATATGTTCAACGCTATTCGTAGAGGATTCGGGCCAACAACGTCATTTGTTTATGTTTATGATCCATACCGGTATTTTTCTAGTATTGGTGCTACTAACTGAATCATTGCATCGCTACATCGATGTTATCAGTAACCGATAATATCGTTGTGAAAACATCGATGTTTTTGGGACTAAGACATAGATTTTTTTCTTCAATTTTTCGTCTGGTCTCTGTACTCTCCAGTAACGGAAAGCATCGATATCTCAATTACACTTGGTCAAAAACATCGATGTGAAAAACAACGAAAATCTATAGAAAAACATCAGTGATGCGAAAACATCTACTATCGATGCTCATCCCTAAACAGAGCTGAGCTACCATTCATTACCAAAGTATAACAAAACACTTCGTATTCGGTCCCGAAACGTCACTACTCAACGAGACTAGAGCGAGCGTCCTATAGCCTAAAAGCGACTTGGGGCTTGGGCTTGGGAATATAATTTTGTACAGTGAATTGGAAGGTTTTAACTACCTATAAATGTTCAAGTGCGCGAAATTGTAAATAAACTTGTTTAGTGTTGCAATCAACGGGTAAATCATCGAACACTGGGTATTTTAATGGCCGATAGGCAGAGTAGTTTTGCAGGTTCCGTTATTGTCTGCCAACAGTGGCAACACTGATAAAGTGAAAAATACTTAAATGCTCCAGCTCCAGTACGGACGGCATCAATAAATCGTATTGTTGTGAAATAGTAACTTTTCAATTTGTAAGATCAACTTTAACCCCAAAAGTAAAACGTATTGAGCTTGCCTTGTTTTTAGTTATAGTTACATACAAATATGTATGTACCTAACACTGTTTTTTTTCCTTTTTGACTTTTTCTACTTACTTTTGTTGTGAATCGTGTGACTTAAATGCAGATCAGATACCAAATATTAATATTATTGATCTATTGCTTAAGCTGTATAATTAATTATGTTTTTGTTTCAACTAGGCCTACTCCTAGAAGTTTATATAAGGTTAGGTTAGTTTGTATATAAATTAAAAATCAAGAATTGGATAGGGGCTGATTTTTTATAATGATAATGAATGATTTTTTATAGTACATATAAAAGTTATTTTATAATATTCTATGGCTAGTATTTTACAATAACCTTGTAAATGTGTATTGAATGTGTGACATTCTAAATTCTACATATAGATAACATGCTTGGTAAGCTTGTACTGATTTCACAATTTTAAACACATTCATAAAACATAATTGAATTTGGAATCGGAATCGAGTCCGGAATCGAGATTCGAATCTTAAATTTAAGAATCGGAATCGGAATCGGAATCGAGAAATTTTGGAATCGGCCCATCACTATTAGAGATATAAAAGCTTTTGATATATTGTTCCCTCAGGCTGTGTGAACAAAATTGGCTCTGTCTATTCTTCTATAAATATAAAAGCTGATATACATAGTTGTTAGACTAAAATATATTTGTGTAATTTCCTTTGCAGATTTTACATTTTGCAAAAATATAAATTTTTTAAATATACAAATTTACTGCAATACTTTTTCATAGCCGTGTAGGTACTTTTTTATAGTGGTATTTTTCTGAGGGGATCTTGTCCTAACAGCTGTTTAAACCATTGAATTTTGTTAACCATAAAAACGCATAAACTAAATGCTGTCTCATATTAGATGAGTAATATAGCAATATTTTTAGGACCAAGTGAATCTCGAGTCCAAGAAGAAGACGGTCAAGTTTATTGGTGAACTGGTCAACTTTAACCTGTATCCCAAGAAGGACGCACTACGGGCACTCAAGTTGTTACTGTACGACTTCACACACCACAACGTAGAGATGGTCTGTTGTCTGTTGGACACTTGTGGTTGTGTGTTGTATGCTGCTTCAGACTCCCATCTTCCCACTAAGTATTATCTGGTACGATCTGTGATTAACTTGTGTACCCTTAAAGTTTGTATGTTTCTAAATGAACATAAGAGTAACCTTATGCCTTTATACCATATTACCCCTGTAGTTACAAATTATAAAATTAATTAAAATCCATACATTTAGCCCCTGAGCTGATCTTGAGACTAAATCATTAATCACTTACCTTCGTCAATCAGCTTATAGTAGGGTAACAAATGTTACGGCCGTTTCAGCATCTCAGTGCCATCATCAGATGTTCATCCTTTATGGAATTGCTAATACACAAAAACATAGACTGTCACACGTGACATACACATTATAGTAATCTTGTTCATTTACACTTAATGGTTGAAACTGAAACAAAAATTCAAGTGTCAAAAAACACCAAAATATTGAAAAGTCTTGGAATAATTCTAAAGGGAAATATTTATTTAGGCTATGTGAAAACTGAAAACCTAATGTAGGACAGGTACTTTTAATTTGATAAAATAATTGAGCTGATATAGATGTATTATGAATTGTATAATAGGCTACATTTGATAATAATTTGAGTAATGGGACAGAGCTTGAAGGGAACGGACGTGCTTTCACCGACCTCCGCGGAGATAAGATAGTGAACTCTGAAAACGCATTTCGACGATCGTGTGCAGGCTTCCTTAGTTTCAAAGTTTTATTTTTTTCTCGGTTTAAACAATTTTAAACCAAATAATACAAAATGGCGGATAAATGTAAATTATGTCGAAAATCAATTACATCTCGCCACCTGAAAATTCACTGCTGTGACTGTGCATCGCTTTATCATGCGTCCTGTGTGAAAATGTCTAAAGAAGATTTGGACTACCTAAACGACAACAACGAGGCTTGGCGATGTGACCCATGTTCCGTGACGAGGCGGAAAATTATGCAGGTAAAGTCTCAGCTCGAGAAAGAAGATGTGAGTATAAAAGCTGTATTTGATCTCCTTCAAGAAATGCGTGAAGAATCCAAAGCGCAAATTCGTAATTTAGAAACTGATCTTGGTAACTCTGTTGAAAGATGTCATTATGACATAAATGAACTCTCAAAGAAAATTGATAAACAATCAGAAGTAATAACAAACTATGAAAAACGCTTTGAAACTATCAATCAAGCTAACTTAGCCTTAACAAAGAGAGTAAACGATTTAGAAAGTCGCATCGTAGAGCTGGAACAATACTCAAGATCCAATTGTATAGAGGTAAATGGTATTCCTGAGCAGAATGGCGAACAAGTCATTGAGGTAGTGAAAAAGATCGGTAGTAGCCTGGGTGTAGAGATAAAGGATAATGATATCGATGCATGTCATCGCTTAGGACCAAAACAAAATGCCGGCGGCAGTGACAGATCTCGGGGGATCATGGTCAAGTTTACCAGACGAGTGATAAAGGAAAACCTGTTGACCAAAGGACTAAACGTAACTTAAATACGAAAGACATTGGATTTTTGTACCGGTCCAGCCGAGGTAGTCTATGTGAACGAGAGTCTAAGCGTGGCCAAGAGACAGATCCTAAACGCAGCACGACAACTAAAGAAGGATGGACTTGTGCAGTATGTATGGGTACGAAACGGAAAAATCCTTCTGCAAGTTGAAGAGGATTCGAGGGTAGAAGTAATTACGTCAAAGGAGCAGATTGAAGAACTACGTAGAGTACGCATCGCCAGCGTCAGCAACATCCCGTCAGCAACAGCGTCCCCGACCGGACCACGCAACACAGACACTCCTCTACTACTAGACCACGACACGACAAGTACATCACCATTCGCACCACAGCTGGCACCACAGGACACGACAAGTACTTTGCCACCATCCACACAACACGACATGACAAGTACCACGGACACCACGACTTCCGCAGATGGTGCTGAGTAGATGTGCTCTAGTCAACCCGATGATTAAGGTATCGAACATTTAAAAATGGTTGTCTGTGTAAATAGAATTAGATTTGTAAATTTTTATGTTAGCTTATTTTTTAAATTGTCTTTATTTAACTAATTATGACAACGGTTCTTGAAGATGACAGTTTTACTACTTGTAGTGCCGGTCTCATTACAGTCCAACAAAACATAAGGAGTGTAAGAAAAAATTTCGATTTAGGCCTATTTTGTGTTAAATTCCAGAACTTAACAAAAAAACCTGACATTGTCGTATTGTGTGAAATATGGATTGAAGACCACGAAATATCTAGGCCTAAGTATAGTTTATCCAGTTATGTAACGTACGCAAATTGTAATAATAACTATAGAGCTGGTGGCGTGATCATTTACTTATCAGACCGCATTTCTGGTCATTGTATTGATTCAGTTGGAATGCAGACAGCGGATGTCCTATGTTTAAAAATCGATTTAAGCACAGATAAACCAGTATTCCTATCCATCGTTAGCATTAATTTATAGATTGCATGAGTACAATGTAGATATTTTTATCGATGAATTTGATGGATTATTAAATGCCATAGATAGTCCCAATCTTTTGATTATTGGTGATATCAACATAGACTTGATAAAAAAATCCCCACATGTAGACAATTATTTAATGAAAATGTCAAGGCATGGGTTATTTTCACTAATTGAAGAACCTACACGTGTAACAAAAGATACAAACACTTCTATAGATCACATATTATTTAGACGTAGCGCCAACCATAAGATGGATTATAAAAGCTGGGTAATAGCACAGAAAACGTACTACTATAACCCAGAATGCCAACCGCATGGTAAAAAGCATTAAGTGTTTTGAGAGAGCTTTGCCTGTCAATCCGTAGGCAGCGCCACCAGCGTTGCTATGCTATTGCATGGCAACGCTGGTGGCGCTGCCTTCGGATTGACAGGCAAAGCTCTCTCAAACCGCTTAATGCTTTTTACCATGCGGTTGGCATTCTGGGTTATAGTAGTACATTTTCTGTGGTAATAGATAGTGAAATTACTGACCATAGAATGACTGCTGTAAATCTTGTTTTAATATGTAACACCAAATCCATTCCTAAAAAATCAATCTTTTCCAAAATAGATTTTGTTAAACTAAAAACAAATATAAAAAGCGTTGACAAGTCCCAAATATATTTAACAAACGATACATGCTTAGGTTTTGAAATGCTCGTTGGCATCCTAAATAAAGCTGTAGCAGAATCAAAAATCCGTAAAATTAAAAGTTCTAAACAAAAACTGAAACCTTGGATGAACAACACTTTAGCAAGTATGGTTAAAGAGAAAAATAAGCTATTTAAAAAATCAGCTAAACAGCCTAACAATCATATACTTCAACAATCTTATAAAGAGTTCAAAAACAGGTTAATAAATAAAATTAGAACTCTGAACTATTAAGGAAGTGTATTACAGACAAAAATTCAAGTTAAATAAAAATAATACAAAAAAACAGTGGAATGCAATAAACGAGTTATTCGGTTGTGAAAAGAATTTGAATCAGAAAATAATACTTACCCATGAAAATGAGGTTTTGGTTCAAGATCAAACTGAAGTTGCAAATATGTTCAATGATTTCTTCCTTACAATTGCAGATGAGCTTAGAGATGACATAGTCTCAGATATTGAGGGAATTAAAACTTCAAATAGTGCGTTCGACATCACGTTTCCAACACGAACCTATTCAAACAAATCCATATTTTTCTTTCCTACAAATACAGCTGAAATTAAAAGTATAGTTAGTGCATTAGAAGATAGAAAAGCCCCAGGTTTTGATGAGTTAACACATGTTATCATTAAAAACATCATAGACAGCATAGATAATGTATTGGTTCATTTAATAAATCTTAGTATGTCTACGGGTGTATTTCCTAATATTCTAAAAAAGAGCTGTTTTAAAGCCATTGTACAAAAAAGGCGATAAAACTAATCCCACTAACTACCGTCCTATAGCCTAACTCTCTATCCTATCAAAAATAATAGAAAAGATTGTAAAGGAGTGTTTGATTAACTTCCTGAATAAAATTAATTTCTTTAGTAAAACCCAGTACGGGTTTAGAAGTAAAATGAACACAAGTAATGTTTTGTTAGATTTTATGTCTCAGGCTTACAATGGAATAAATCAAGGTAAATGCTGTGCAGATATACAGGGTGATTGATATAAGTGTGCCAGCCGTTTTATTCGAAAACTATAAGAGATATCAAAAAAAGTTAAATGGTAAGTGCCTTGGATTTTTTATTAAAAAAATTATAGTCAAGTCAAAAAAATTATTTTAGCCGCCATTTTTCCAATATGGCCGCCAACTTTGATTTTTCTTACGGTATTTTATGATGTATTCTGGTAGAAAAAGTAATTTTAAGACAATTTTATTCTTGTAATTTTTTTCATAAACCTAACCGTTTCAGAGATAATAATGGTTTAAGTTGTGAAATTTTGAATGGTTTTCGAGCAAAACAGCTGGCATGCTTGCTTAGGCCTTTATCGAAACTCTTTCTCATGCAGAAATTTCAAAACTTTAACCATTATTATCTTTAAAACGGTTAGGTTTATGAAGAAAATCACAAGAATAAAATCGTCTTAAAATTACTTTTTCTACCAGAAAACATCATAAAATACAGGGTGTTCCGTAAGAAAAATCAAAGTTGGCGGCCATATTGGAAAAATGGCGGCTAAAATATTTTTTTTTTTGTTTTTTAAATAAAAAATCCAAGGCACTTACCATTTAACTTTTTTTGATATCTCTTATAGTTTTCGAATAAAACGGCTGGCACACTTATATCAATCACCCTGTATATTCGTAGATGTAATGAAGGCATTCGACACAGTAGATCACTCTATTTTACTGTCTCGAATGTATGAAGCAGGTATTAGAGGGATCCCTCTCAAGTGGTTCAGTTCATATTTATCAGAAAGAAGCCACGTAACTAGAGTAGGTGAATCTGTTAGTGAAATAGGTATTATTAAGCACGGAATTCCACAGGGTTCAGTATTATCTGGACCATTATTTCTTATTTATGTAAATAATCTTTGTGAAGGTGTAACTAATGGCAGACTAGTTGCGTTTGCTGAC